ACGGCAACAGGTTTAGTAAACAAGAGAAAACATAAAAACTGAGTTTATCTGTATAAAAATAATACTGATTATGATCACTTATACAAATAGCTTATATTTCCATACCCTGTGGTGTAGTAAGGAGCCCTGTTGGCACAGTGGCTAAGAACTCGGCTGCTAACTGAAAGGTCGGCAGTTTGAACCCACCAGCTTGCTCTGCAGGGGAAAGATGTGGCAGTCCGTTTCCGTAAAGATTACAGCCTTGGAAACCCTATGGGGCAGTTCTACTCTGTCCTATAGGGTGGCTATGAGTAGGAATTGACTTGATGGCAATGAGGGTGTTTTGATTTTGGTGGTATAGTAACTATTTTGCATATAATTATGTTAGGCTGACTTTGCTGTAAATTTGTTTATAACACTAAACTGTTGATGCGGGCTCCACCTTATCATTTGTGGTTCCTGTGACAGTGTTATCGATTCACAACTTTAAAAGGAAAAATTAGAGTGGCCGTTTCTTGTTGTTGTTAGGTGCCATCGAGTCGGTTCCGACTCATAGCGACCCTACGCACAACAGAATGCCATCCTCACAGTCGTTGCTATGTTTGAGCCCATTGTTGCAGCTACTGTGTCAATCCATCTCATTGAGGGTCTTCTTCTTTTTCACTGACCCTCTGCTTTACCAAGCATGATGTCCTTCTCCAGGGACTGATTCCTCCTGACAACATGTCCAAAGTACATAAGACGTAGTCTCGCCATCCTTGCTTCTAAGGAGCATTCTGGTTGTACTTCTTCCAAGACAGATTTGTTTGATCTATTGGCAGTCCATGGTATATTCAATATTCTTTGCCAACACCACAATTCAAAGGCATCAAGTCTTCTTCGGTCTTCCTTATTCATTGTCCAGCTTTCATATGCATAAGAGGCGATTTAAAATATCATGACTTGAGTCAGGCGCACCTTAGTCCTCAAGGTGACATCTTTGCTTTTCAACACTTTAAACAGGTCTCTTGCAGCTGATTTGCCCAATGCACTGGTCTTCTGATTTCTTCACTGCTGCTTCCATGGGCATTGATTGTGGATCCAAGTAAAATGAAATCATTGATAACCTCAGTCATGATGTTTATCATGATGTTGCTTATTGGTCCAGTTGTGAGGATTTTTGTTTTGTTTATGTTGAGGTGTAATCCATACTGAAGGCTGTAGTCTTTGATCTTCATCAGTAAGTGCTTCAAGTCCTCTTCACTTTCAGCAAGCAAGGTTGTGTCATCTGCATAATACAGGTTGTTAATGAGTCTTCCTCTAATCTTGATGCCCGTTCTTCTTCATATAGTCCAGCTTCTCGGATTATTTGCTCAGCATACAGACTGAATAGGTATCGTGAAAGGATACAACCCTGACGCACACCTTTCCTGACTTTAAACTATGCAGTATCCCCTTGTTCTGTTCGCACAATTGCCTCTTGATCCATGTACAGATTCTTCATGAGCACAATTAAGTGTTCCGGAACTCCCATTCTCTGCGATGTTATCCATAATTTGTTATGATCCACGCAGTCGAATGCCTTAGCACAGTCAATAGAGCACAGGTAAACAGCTTTCTGGTATTCTCTGCTTTTAGCCAGGATCCATCTGACATCAGCAGTGATATCTCTGGTTCCACATCCTCTCCTAAATCCAGCTTGAATTTCTGTCAGTTCCCTGTTGATATACTGCTGCAGCCGCTTTTGAAATGATCTTCAGCAAAATTTTGCTTGCATGTGATATTAATGATATTGTTCAATAATTTCCACATTCGGTTAGATCACCTTTCTTGGGAATAGGCATAAATATGGCTCTCTTCCAGTCAGTTGGCCAGGTAGCTGTCTTCCAAATTTCTTGGCATAGACAAGTAAGCACTTCCAGCGCTGCATCCGTTTGTTGAAACATCTCAGTTAGTATTCTGTTAATTCCTGAAGTCTTGTTTTTTGCCAATGCCTTCATTGCAGCTTGGACTTCTTCCTTCAGTACCATTGGTTCCTGATCATATGTTACCCCCTGAAATGGTTGAATGTCCACCAATTCTTTTTGGTATAGTGACTCTGCATATTCCTTTCATCTTCTTTTGAGGCTTCCCGCGTCGTTTAATATTTTCCCCGTAGAATCCTTCAGTATTGCAACTTCAGGCTTGAATTTTTTCTTCAGTTCTTTCAGCTTGAGAAATGCTGAGTGTGTTCTTCCTTTTTGTTTTTCTAACTCTAGGTCTTTGCACATGTCATCGTAATACTTTACTCTGTCTTCTCGAGCTGCCTTTTGAAATCTTCTGTTCAGCTCTTTTACTTCATCATTTTTTTTTTCCTTTTGCATTAGCTACTCAGCGTTCAAAAGCAAGTTTCAGAGTCTCTTCTGACATCCATTTAGGTCTTTTCTTTCTCTCCTGACTTTTTAATGATCTCTTGCTTTCTTCATGTAGGATGTCCTTGATGTCATTCCACAACTTGTCTGGTCTTCAGTCATTAGTGTTCAACACATCAAATCTATTCTTGAGATGGTCTCTAAATTCAGATGGAATATACTCAAGGTCATACTTTGGCTCTCATGGACTTGTTCTAATTTTCTTTAGTTTCACCTTGAACTTGCATATGAGTAATTAATGGTTTGATCCGCCATCAGCCCCTGTCCTTGTTCTGACTGATGATATTGAGCTTTTCCACTGTCTCTTTACACATATGTAGTCGATTTGATTCCTGTGCATTCCATCTGGCAGGGTCCATATGTATAGCTGCCATTTATGTTGGTGAAAAAAGGTATTTGCAATGAAGAAGTCGTTGGTCTTGCAAAATTCAGTCGTGGGATCTCTGACATCATTTCTATCACCAAGGCCATATTTTCAAACTAGTAATCCTTCTTTGTTTCCAACTTTCCCATTCCAATCACCAGTAATTATCAGTGCATCCTGATTGCATGTTCAATCAATTTCGGACTGCAGAAGTTGGTAAAAATCTTCAGTTTCTTCATCTTTGGCCTCAGTGGTTGGTGCATAAATTTGAATAATAGTTGTATTAACTGGTCTTCCTTGTAGGTGTGTGGATATTATACTATCACTAACAGCATTGTACTTCAGGATAGATCTTGAAATGTTCTTTTTGACGATGAACGCAACGCCATTTCTCTTCAAGTTGTCATTCCCGGTATAGTAGGCCATATGATTGTCTGATTCAAAATTGCCAATACCAGTCCATTTCAGCTCACTAATGCCAAGGATACTGATCTTTATGTGTTCCATTTCATTTCTGATGATATCCAATTTTCCTAGATTCATACTTTGTATGTTCCAGGTTCCGATTATTAATGGATGTTTGCAGCTGTTTCTTCTCATTTTGAGTCATGCCACATCAGCAAATGAAGGTCCTGAAAGCTTAACTCCACCCACATGATTAAGGTCGACTTTACTTTGAAGAGGCAGTGCTTCCCTAGTAGTATTTTGAGTGCCTTCCAACCTGAGGGGCTCATCTTCCAGCACATATCAGACAATGTTCTGCTGTTATTCATAAGGTTTTCATTGGCTAATTCTTTTCAGAAGTAGACTGCTGCGTCCTTCTTCCTAGTCTGCCTTAGTCTGGAAGCTCAGCTGAAACCTGTATGCTGTGGGTGACCCTGTTGCTATTTGAATACCGGTGGCACAGCTTCCAGCATCACAGCAACACACAAGCCCCCACCATATGACAAACAGACAGACACGTGGGGGGACTGTTTCTTAGGAGCTAGTGTTCTGACCATGGTTTCATCTGTTGAAATAATTATTCCCAGGTTGGAAACTGTGTGCTCTTATGGAATGAACCAGTAAGGGAGAGGCTGTGAGGCATGTGGAAGGTGTTCAGGCCTCAGAATCTAGACAAATCTGAGCCAGAATCTCAGCTTTTTCACCATTTACTAGTAGTTCAATCTTAGCAAACCTTCACTAACTTCATCTGTTAAGTGGGAATAACAATACCTGCTTGAGGGGTTTCTAGGACACCCTTGCATTGGAACAATGCAAACCAAGTGCCCAAGCTATATTACTCCCCCACCTGCTGCTAAGTTGATTCCACTCATGGCAACTCCATGTATTTCAGAGTAGAATTGCAGTCCATAGGGTTTTCAATGGCTGTGATCTTAGGGAAGGAGCCCTGGTGGTGCAGTGGTTAGGCTGCTAACTGAGAGGTCAGTGGTTTGAAGCCATCAGCCACTCCATCAGAGAAAGATGAGGCAATCTGCTTCCGGGAACCCTATGAGGCATTTCTAACTCTGTCCTATAGGGTTGCGATGAGTCAGAATCGAGTAGATGGCAACGGGTTTGGTTTGGCTGGTTTATTATTATGGTGAGTCCTTGGTGTTACACAATAGCGAATATGCCACCTAGAGTTCCCAGTGGCATGAGATTTCTGAGTTCAGGGGACAATTACTTATTCTGTTGGTGGAGTAGCAGATGTCAAAGGCTGATAAATGTTGACATCCCCAGGGTTCCAGGAAGCCAGACTCGGGGCCATGGTGTGCCCTGCCTCCTTTGACAGTTCAGTGAACGATGACTTTTGAAATGGCACTTTGTTGATCTTTCAGGAGGCCAGTGCTGTTTCTAAAGTGACTTAACACACACAGGGAAAAACCAGTTCAATAATGTCTTTTCCTTCCTGACTGTTAACTTCCTTGTTTTTTCTTTCTCTAGCTCAGTGAATACCAACACAACGACTGATGAATCTCTTGGCACTTGTTTTTTCTCCCAAGAATATATTTTATTGTCTGGGTAAGTGCCACCACCTCGACTCCTTTGGGAAGAACGCGTGCATTCTTTGAGTCACGTCCACCAATTTTCAGGTCACAGTTTTCGTGTGTTCAGCGGAAGGTAGCGTGGTACAGGGGAAAGAGTAGTGGCTGAGGTCACCTGGGTCTTGTCTCCATCACCATTTGTTCATCTATATAAAACTGGCATGGTGGACACGAGCAAGGCTTTGCTGCAGGCCGCTGCGGGAACAGCGTACTGCGCCGGTGGCGCCTTGGAGGCCTCGGGATCTCAGCGTCTCGGTTGCCAAGGGAACTAGGGGCGGCTCGCTTTCCGGCGCAGTCGCGGCGCGGCACAGCTGTCATGGCGGAGACCGTCTGGAGCACCGACACCGGGGAGGCAGTGTACCGCTCCCGGGACCCCGTGCGCAACTTTCGCCTCCGGTAGTAGCACCGCCCCAGCACCGAGCCCCCGTGCTTTTATCCCCTCAGATAATTCGAGCCTGAACTTGGCGTTCTGAGGCCCCCACTTCCGCTTACAATCCTCACCACATCCTCCTTGGTCTCCCCACATCTTGCCGCAGTACCCGGACCGCTACCCACCCAGTGCCTCCCTGCATACTTTCCAGACTCACCTAACTCCTCTTCAGTCTCAGTACTACCCATGTTCCTCGGAGCGCTGGATCCTCAGTACACCCTCCTATCCTCACCTTTCCCCTCAGGGCCCCGCGCCTCACCCACCTCCCCTCAGTCTTCTGCACGCAACGCACCTTGGCAGCCCCATCCTGCTCTCTGTTTTGCTACCTCAGTACTTGTTCTGTGTTCATCCTGCTTGTGTGCCTTGTAACGCGCGTTTTGGACGTCTCTTTTCCTGACAGAGTCCACCTGCAAAGAATCACATCAAGCAACTTTCTCCATTACCAGCCTGCTACCCAGCCCGGGAAGAACCTCATAGACTTGGCCACTTTTAGGCCCCAACCAACTGCCAGTGGGTGTTATGGTGGTGATGCAGGCCCCCCTGGGGATCTGGGGGAAGAGCCTGGGGTGGTAGAGTTACCTCTTAAGACAGAGTAGATGCAGGTCTGCTTTCTGACAGCAGCCTTTTCACGGATAAGGAAACTAAGGCACAGAGAGGGTGGATTCCTTGTCAAGGTCCTGCAGCTGGTGAACGTTGGAGCCAGTATTTGAAGCCAGGCAGTTTTAGGTAGTATGCAATATTGTGTAGGAAAATTGAATAAGAAATCATTCCTGCCATCAGGATGCTGATCTGAATTGGGCCATCTGTAGTGAAATAAAAAATACCTTACTTTTGATATGTTATAGATTTGCTTGGCCACCTGAATACCATTTGTGGCATTTTTTTTCTAAAGGAAATTATATCCTAACTCTAAATACATGTCTAAACTTAAAGTTGGGGACTGCTAGACAAATGTACATATTAACATTGACTGTGCTCTTGAGGTTTTCTTGTCTGAGAAGCCAGAAGAGTGAGGACAGAGGAGATGTGCTTGTGTCAGGTCACTAGTTGCTCTGCTTTTGTTGTGCTTCTGTTTGAAAATATTCCTGAGCAAGAGTGTGGGCTGGTGGGTTGTGAAACATGTCTCTGAAAAAGTCATACTCAGGCAGGAGTGGATTAGGTTTTGTTCTTTAAAAAAAAAAAAAAAATCATTTATTTGACTTTCCTCTTCCGTCCTTAGCCTCTTAAGGTTACAGAGTTTGTGCTTCTAAATATATAGCTTCAGGATTCCTTTCCAGCAAATGCAGGGTGTTGAGATTGAGGAAGAGCCATTCAGCCTGTATCTAAATTTCAGTCCCTGACACTGACTTAGATTTAATAATACCTGGAAGGCAGGACCACCTTTTATTCAATTAGAGTAGTGGTTGAGATTCCTTGGGTTCTAATCTTGGTTTCTGCACATACTAACTGGAGCACATATACAGCCTCTCTAGTTTCTGTCAGAGTGAGTACTTAATAAACCACTGAACTCCAGCTGGTTTTGTGGCAAATATAAGAGCAGAGCCTTTCCTTTGGTTATAACCAACCACAGTGGCCTTGGTTTGGCTCAAGGAGTTGACTCACTCTGTTGTCTTTGGAGGTGGACATCGCCCGGATGAAAATGAAGAGGAGGAGGTTGTGATTGGGTGGCAGGAGAAGCTCTTTAGCCAGGTGAGCCAGTGTCACGTGTCGGCTCAGTCTGTCTCCACCTGGCCCATCTCTGCCTGGCTGGCAGCAGGGAAAGCTCCCCATCTTTGAGAGAGAGGCTGCTGCCAGCAGGGCTCCCCAGGCCAGGACTTTGCTGACAGATCCACGTCACTAATATTAAACAATGTTTCAATGGGCATGTTTGTATTAAGTCTCATTTGATTCTCTGATTTTTCTCAAATAAGATTCTTGGAAACAGAATAACTAGATTAAAATACTACTTTGAAGATTATTCATACATATTGCCAAACTGATTTCCAGGAAGGTTGTAGCAGTATATACTGTCCCCTATTGTGTTTATAGGGGCATAGTGAAAAGCAGCCCAAGTGTTGGGTTCCGGTGGTCTTGGGTGAAATTCTGATTGCCACTAAGTTTTATGATCATGGGTACAGCACATATCATCTCTGGGACACAAGCCATTTGTAGCAAAAGAGTTGGATTAGACCATCACCCTGGTTGCTTTTGTTTGAATCCCATGCCCTGCGTTAGCTTAGGTAAATGAGAGCTGGTTCTGAAAACATGTCAGATAGCATCAGTTCTATAGAAATAATTTGATTGGAAAGTTGTAGGAACAAAAGTTTGAAGTGTTCTCAGTAGATCTCTGTTTCCTTGTGGTCACCTCAGTTTGAGGTAGATCTGTACCAAAATGAAGCAGCCTGTCAGAGCCCTTTGGATCATCAGTACCGTCAAGAGATCCTGAAGCTGGAAGATTCAGGTGGCAGGAAGAACCGGCGAATCTTTACCTATACCGACTCTGATAGATACACCAACTTGGAGGAGGTATTGTTCTTTCCAAGGTCCCATGGCTCCCTTCTTGCACTTTGCCTCCCCTAGCTTTCTGGCCTCAGTGGGTTCTGTGTGCGAAATCAGAAGCCTGTTAAGGGGAGACGGGTAGCCTTCCCAGAGCTCCCGTGTGCTGCTGGCAGCCACGCTGGAGTAGAGAGGGCACAGTCTGCGTGTGGCATGGCTGCTGCTCCCTTCTCTGCCTCCTGGAGGGCCTGGGGGAACTGGCAGGGACCAGTGTCTTTAGTGATAGCCTTGTAGACTGCCAACTGAAGAAGCAGCCACTGGGCTTGAATGCCTACTTGAATCATGAAGTGAGATGGGTAGGTGGAGTCTGGGACAATCTAGACAAAACTCATCAGGGTATTCAGCCAAATCTCTGACTGTATGGGTTTGGAGAGGAATTCAGTACAGCCATGGGGAGTGGCGTTTGTCTTCAGTGTGCCTATGTTAACATACCCTTGTGGATTTGTTCTATATTTTCTTCAGTCACTGCATGATATGTTCTGTCTTCTCAGGGAGGTTTTAAGCTCCTTGAGGGTAGAGCTTCCATTTTCTGATTTTTCTCTATGACCTTGTAGATCTCTGCAAAGAACAGGAATTAAGTGATTGTTTTTGAAAGATGAGCATGCCTTCATTAGGAGAGCTGTGTGCTGGTAGCATGTCGAATTTGGATTGTTTGTTTTGGAAAAGCAGATGAAAATGCAGTTAGTGCTCTATTAACCATATGAAGATTTTCCACAAAATACTTTTATCCCATTTGGCATCTTTCAACTACCTAGTTAAACTTTAACGTCTACCAGGCAAACTCACCCAGCTTTTTATTGGTATGTGCTCAGGGGATGTTAGACTGATTTTAACATTAGCGTGTATAGACTCATTTCTGCAGGATGATATGCTGCCAGAATCTTAGGGCAAAACAAGGTCTAGGGGCATTTTCTTTGGGTTGTTTGGGCCACTCCTTCCCTCCGTTAGTATATAGAATTTTGAGGTGGCTATACCTATTAGTTCAGGTCACAGATGAGGTTTCTGAAGGCAGACTTCCCCTCTGGAAGTCAGTTGGCTCAATGTGGCCCTGATCAGGTGGGTCATACAGGGCTGCTGTCTTTCTTTAGCACTGTCAGAAAATGACCACCGCAACCAGTGAGGTACCATCTTTCTTGGTCGAGCGAATGGCAAATGTCAGGCGGCGGCGGCAGGACAGGCGAGGGATGTGAGTGCAAGTATATATGGGCGCAGGTGGGTGGGGGTCTTTGTGGTCCTGCCATACCAGTGTTCTCAGTGGTATGTCCACTGCCTTGAGTCTCCCATTCTGGAATGGACATCCACCTGGGGTGTGATCTTCAAGGGGTACCGGGGAAGTGACCCTTCCTGTGGTGTCTCCCAGGGAGGGCGGCATCCTCAAGTCACGCGTCGTCACCTGGGAACCCTCAGAAGAGTTCATCAGGAACAACCATGTCATTAACACCCCTCTTCAAACAATGTACATCATGGCAGACCTGGGGCCCTGTGGAAAGTGAGTGAAGCTTCATACCACCCACTCAGGCCCTCATCCTCTTCTTCTCACACTGATCATCACCTTCCTGTTAGAGTCATCACTGGGCATGTGAGAGAGAGGGACTTTTTTTTCCTAGATGTACTTGGCAGAAAGTGTTCTACCATGACACGTCTTACTACAGAAATCTGCCTTCCCCCGTCATGTGGGCTGACTACCTCTTCTTCTTTCCCTGGAAGTGGGATCGGGGATCCTGAAACTTGGTGTTGATTTCTTGGTTTCTAGGCTTGGCTATAAGAAGTATGAACAGATCCTCTGTACTCTGAAGGTGGACAGCAACGGTGTGATCACAGTAAAACCTGACTTCACTGGCCTCAAAGGACCCTACAGGTGAGGAGAGTGGCCTCTAGGAAAGGGGGAGTGGACACTGACATTCCTTCCCTTGGCTTCACTTCTTGCTCCTAGTTGATGAGATCTTTCAGAAGCCCTTCATCTGTCCTAACTTTCAAATTCCCAGGTAATGGTTCATATTCTGTTCTGAGTCAGAGGCCCTTAAGAAGCTGGGGAGACGTGCAGCTACACCAATGTGAAAGTGATAGCTTCAGCATGTAGTTTGGTGAAAATAATTCTCTGGGCTGCTGAATGTAGGGACTCACCAGAACAGGGTGAGATGAACTCAAACCAGGTATCTTCCTCTGGGCTGACTCTTCCTCCCCGCCATGTCTTAGAATAACAGGACCATAAATTAGAAATCATCTAGATGAGCTTGCCCATTTCTCAAGTGAGGGAACTGGGTGCCAGGGATGTTGAGCCTTAGGGTTTCACAGTGACTTTGGGGCAGGGATGGGTCCAGACCCCATACTCTCTGAGTCTAGTCTGGTACCTTTCTGCTTTACCATTTTGTGTCCCTCTCCTGGTCATCATCAAAGCCATTTGTATCATCATGCCCTTCAGGTGAGGTGTATGATCAGTGATGACTCATCCTGGGCTAGATCTGGAGGACCCCATCCTTATTATCAGAGTTGGTCCTTTCGTGGCTTTGACCTTACAGAATCGAGATGGAGGGGGAGAAGCAGGAGCTGTGGAAGTATACGATCGACAACGTGTCCTCGCTCGCACAGCCAGAGGAGGAGGAGCGGGAACAGCGTGTGTTCAAGGACGTAAGAGCTTGTTCATGTCAAGGACCGAGGGGATGAGCACGTGCCTAGGAGCTGAGACTGTGTCTGAGGTTGATGGCAGCAGTTGCTAAGGAAAACCTTGCTCTTAACAGCCCCCTCTGTCCTAGAAAGCATTGCTGATGTACCAGGCAGCAGTTTTTGTTCCTATTATGCCATAATAACAATAACAGTTACCATTTATTAGTGTTTACTGTGCTGTGTTCTAGGCATGTCACATAACTTCTTTCATTTAGACCTTAGCAACAACCTTGTGAGGCAGATACTATTATTATTACCAATTTATAAGTGAGGAAACAGATTAAGCAGCAAAGTGATCTTCCCAAGATCACACAGCTTGTAAGTGCTGGGGCCAGGAGATGGCCCCAGACCAGCTGACTACAGAGCCTCTGTCCTTCACTTTAAAATGCCAGTGGCCGGGATGCTTGAGTCTCCAGCTTTCTGTGGCATTCTCCATCGCTGCTGCTTTTCTCCATCCAAACAGAACTGAGCGCTGGGCTGGCTTGGTTCGCATCTTGAGTCTTGGTTTGGTTTGTTTCCTCAGCTTTATGGCCGGCACAAGGAGTATCTCAGTAGCCTCGTGGGCACTGACTTTGAGATGGTGAGTAACTTGGCTTCCTGCAGCACTGTGAGCTGTGTGTAGCCAGCGTGTTCTGACTATGGATGAGTGATAGTGCCTCTCCTGCAGGTCCCAAACACGTACTCTTCACTGTAAAAAGGAAGGTAAAGGATAGCAAGTATAGACCTTGTTATGTGTTTTAAAATGTTGCATATTAATAAAGAACTGCCAATACACAGAAGAAGGTCTGAACACACATGCGTGCTGATGGGGACTTTTCTCTGGGGGTGATTGGTAGATGGGTGTTGAGTCGTGAGAGGGTCATATATTTTTACTTTTTATTCTCTATACTTAGCTAGTTTTGAATTTTTATCAGCAGTAATGCATTCGTTAGTACTTTATAATTAATTTTAAAAATATAAAAGAGAAAAATGCCTTCCTCATGCTTCATGTGGATATTTCCCCTAAGTACCTCATAGAAAGGGAAAGGCTGTCATAGGTATGTCAACTATTTTGGCTCTTAAAAAACAGAGCAGTTTAGGTCAGTTATTCTGTGGTCCTATTCTTTATCTTCTTTCATTCCAGAGGTTCCATTTCTAGATCTGGAAACAAGGATAGAATTATTCACTGGTCTCCCCTCTCTGTAAAAAATTAACTTTTAATATTTTTGTATTTTATAAGCAAAAGATGTTCAGAGTTAAAAAGTTAGGTAAGACAGATGAATAATTATAAAAGAAAAAACCCCTGGTTTCTTGACCTCAGCCATCCAAAGGAAACAGGGGTCTTCAACTGTCTCCTGTACTCCAGAAGGTAGCTGTTGTTACTACCCTTGGCTATTCTTACAAATTTCCCGTACTGTGTTGCCTTCCCTGCCATTTAAATTATGTACTTTTTCCCTACGTCGTCAATTTTAGAAATGAAGGAAGCAAACTTGTGGAGAAGTGGAGGAGGCAGGGTGGGAAGGGGGGCAGTAGTAATGAACTAGTCCAGTGCCAGGCCCTGGGCTTTGTGGAGGGGCTGGAGGAGACATGCTGATTCCCCCTAGACCTCCTGATCTTTTCCCACTTCTCTCCACCTAGACTGTCCCAGGTGCGCTCCGGCTCTTTGTAAACGGAGAGGTGGGTAAGTGTCTTGTCAGACAGAGATCTGTGCCCAAGCACTAGTGTGCAGATGGAGCTGTGAAGTCATCTACCCCACCCTGGTGGAGGCCTTCTCTGTCTCCGTTATGTGGGAAGCTCAGAGATGATTCTTTCCTGGAGGGTTCCTGGCCCTTAAGGGACTTGCTTCCAGGAGAGTGTAGGCTCCTCAGTACTGGGTTGGGTGCTAGGGGTGGTAGGGGAATAAGCCGAAAATAGTTTCCTGTTCTCTCTCTTAGTTTCAGCCCGAGGCTATGAGTATGACAATCTCTACATCCACTTCTTTGTGGAATTGCCAACTAGTAAGTAAGATTCATAAATTTCTGTTTTTGTACCCATTCTGACAGTTTTCCAGAGACATTCAGTCAGGCTTCCTTCCTCACTCCGCCACCAAAACTGTTACTGTCCTTTTCCAGGTCATATATCACTTCCATGTTGCCAAATCCAGTGGTGACTTCTTTGCTTTCACCTCTCAGAAGCATTTGACCCAGCTGACTTTTCTTCTTTGCAACTCTTCTCTTGCCTTCTGGCTCTCCACTTCTCTCTCCTCCTATCACATTGGTGGCACATCAGGGCCCTTGGCTGACTCCTCTTCGGTGGATCTTAAAATATTAGAGTGTCCAACGCTGAGCCTATTCCTTCTGTTACTCTCTATCTACAGTCTTCCTAGGTGATTCTATCTAGTCCCATGGCATTAAATACTATCTGTATTTCTTGGACTCCCAGATTTCTGTCTTAGCCTGGACCTCTCCCCTGAGCTCCAGACTTACCGAGTTACCTCATCGACATCTCTGTTTAACATGACCAAAAAGAACTCTCCCTCAGACCTTCCCTCCCTGGTCTTTCCCATCTTAGCAGAAAGGTAACAGCATCTACTTAGTTGCTGATACCAAAGCCTAGCAGACATCCTCCCCTGATTTGTCACTTTCTCTAGGTCCCTACAGCCAGTCAGTCCATCAGAGTCCTGTCAGCTGAGGCTTCAAAAGCTGTCCCTAATTTGTCTATTCCCTCTAGCACCCAGGACCAGGCCACCATCATCTCTTGCTTAGGCCAGTGCATTAAGTTTCTGACTATCGTCTTCCTCTTTTGCTCCCCCTTACAGTCCATTTGCCACACACCACGTAGCCAAATGGAGCTCTTAAAAATGTAATCCAGTTGTGCCTCTTGGGCTGAAACCCTCCAAACAGCCTCCTCTTCCCCTTAGAGGAAAATCCAGACTCCTTACACTGAATGAGCTAGCCCCTACCTATTTCTCTTTACAACAATCCAGCCACACTTTCTTTCTGTTCTGAACACGCCAAGTTCATTCCCACCTAAGGGCCTTTGCAGGATCATTTCCTTTGCTGGAAACCCTTTTCTGCCATATCTTTGCAAATATCTTTCTTCATGATTTTTAGTTCTAAGTTTCAATGTCACCTCTCAGAGAGGCCTCCTCTGGCCACCAATCTAAATCAGCATCCCAAGTCACTCAGTCCCTTCACCCCATTTTATTTTTAGTGTAGTATTCATCACTACCTGATAGTTTCTGGTTGGTTTACCTGTTGTCTGTCTTCCCCCACCAGAATGTTAGCTCCATGAGAGTCAGGGATCTTTCCTGTCTCATCCCCAAGAATCCCCACTGCCTGGTCATAGCACATAGTAGAAACTCAATAAATGTCTAATGAATGAGTGAATGAATGAATAAAAGAATTTTGCCTTTTTCTCAACTTCTTGCCCTCCTCCCAGGTGAACTTACTATATATGGTCTTTGCCTTTCAGACTGGTCAAGCCCAGCATTCCAGCAGCTTTCAGGAGTAACACAGACCTGTGCCACCAAACCCCTGGGAATGGTATGGAGGATGACAGGGCATATCTGGAGGGAGCAGGAATTGGCTCCTGGGGTGGCATTTGATGCTTTATCAGGCCAACAGCCATGTACTCTAGGGAGGATTCCTGAGTTGGGTCCACCGTTCTGTGTGGGCTCTGTAGGGCTACCTGGTCCAGGGTCCGTCCTCTGCCTTTCTGAGAATAGCAGCAGCTTCTAGGTGTCCCTTCCCCTCTTATCTTCTTACTTCCTACCTGGGGTGAATTTTCCTTTTTCCCTTGTGAAGGTGACCTTGTAACTGGGCACAGGGAGAACATATTCAAGTGAAGCCTTGCCTGTGACATGATACCAAGTGTAAAATAACACTCCTCTTGTTTAGGACAAGGTGGCGTATTTCTCCTACCCATTCACATTTGAGGCCTCCTTCCTCCATGAGGACGAGTCTGCTGGTGAGTAGGTCAGCAGTTGACCCTAGGCCTTGATTCTCCTCAGCCAGTGCCCCTCTTGGTGACCTCTCCTGTGACCTGGGTGGTGCTCTCACTTGCTCCCAGATGCTCTTCCGGAGTGGCCTGTGCTCTACTGTGAGGTCCTCTCGCTGGACTTCTGGCAGAGGTATCGTGTGGAAGGCTATGGGGCCGTGGTGCTGCCTGCCACCCCAGGTAACCCCTTGTCCCTGCCCTTCCTGTGGTCACATGCCCTAGCCCCTGGGAGCAAGACTAACATTTCTGAAAGATCTGACTGCTTCAGGTGAGAAGTAGGGATAATTAAGAATTAGAAGCAACTAACTTGAAAGATTCCATGTTCCTTTGAAGAATTTCTTTCTCCCTCCATTAGAGACAACTAAGTGAAATTTAGAACTAACTAGAGCTAACTCCCTGAAGTTGAGTAGCCTGAGAGTCTCTACTGTCTGCTCCGTGTTCCTCTGATTTGTCTTACAGCCTGAAGGGTGAAGCCGCTTGGCAAAATAGGCTGGCTGTGTACTGAATGAGTCAGCATTCGTTTTGAAATAATAGCAGCTGTGTTTTATTGTGTGCCAGGAATTGTGCTAAGTGCGTCTCATTTAATTCTCTAAGCCACTCTGTGAGGTGTAGGTGGTGCTGGAATTTCCATTTTACTAGATGAGGAAAATGAGGTTCAGAAAGGTTAAGAAACTTATCTTTGATACACAGGTAATAACTGGCAGAGCTGAGATACGAATTTATGTCTGGTTGATTTCAAAATGAGTGCTCTTAACCACCATGATAACCTTCACCAGAAACCAGGTCATCGCCTGACCAGGTATAAGGAGCCCTGGTGGTACAGTGGTTAAGCACTCAGCTGCTAACCAAAGGGTTGGCAGTTCTAACCCACCAACTGCTCTGCAGGAGACATGTGTGGCAGTCTGCTTCCATAAAGATTACAGCCTTGGAAACCCTATGTGGCAGTTCTTCTCTGTCCTACAGAGTCACTATGAGTTAGAATCGACCTGATGGCAACAGGTTTGGGTTTTTGGTATGCTGTGTCATTGCTGGGGAGGCAGGAAGGAACCAGATACCCTTTCTGGACCAGGCTCCATTTTTCTCTTCCCTCACACAGGCTTACACACCCTGACGGTCTCCACATGGAGACCCACGGAGCTGGGCACCAGGGCTGAGCTGAGGAGGTTTTTCATCGGTGGTTCTCTGGAACTGGAGGACCTCTCCTACGTGCGGATACCAGGAACCGTTAAGGTGACTTTTGTCTCTGGGGAGACTCCTTGCCAGGAACTTAATGTTCCCATCTTCTATTCTGTAGTAGGTGGGATCTGGGCTAAGACCACTTAGTTGCTCATTGCTTCAGCGTTACTTAGCCTCTTCCTTCCTGTGGCTTAAGCTAGAAGTCCTGGCCACATTTTGAACCAGGTACAAATATCTACACTATCTTAGGAGATATCTGGAAAATAGTATACTTAGAGATTTCCTATTGTCTTTGTCAGAATAACTGGCTCTTTCTTCCACCCCATCATTGATAGCCTTGGTAATCGGAGATGGGGAGGATTGGCAGGAAGTGTGTAAGACACCTTATTCTCAGATGAGTTTGGAATGTTCCCTGCTTCAGAGTTGGGAGCCAAATTTTAGCCTTGAGGTGATGGGGTCTGGGTGATGGAACGAGGTTTCCCCAACAGAACTGTTCTCCCCAAGAATGGGAATAAGAATGGACTGAGCCCAGCTTGGTGTCAGAGGCCTAGAAACGGTGGGAACTTGATGCTGCCCAGAGGCGTGGGGGGGCGGGCGGGCGGGGAGGGACACTTGCCCCTGGACACAAGTCCAAGAGGGTACCAGATGAGGCACCGAATGGCATTCTGAAGCACCACAAATATGAAAGGCGCCCAACTGAGGCAGCCAGACAAGAGGGGATAAGGCGTTTCTGCTGACATGTTGCTGCTGTCAACATCTATTCATCTTGAGATTGGGGGGGTGGGGGGCCATTTAGAGATGGCCCCTGGGCACTCAGATTGGTGGGGGTCACAACTTAGAGATGGCCCCAGGCTCTCGTTATCCTTGCTAGGCCTCTGATGCTGTCTCAACTACTCCCACAGGGGACGCGTCTGAGCCGCTTCGGATTCCGCACGATGACCACCGGCAGTGTCACCTTCCGCTTCCACTGTCTGCAGCAGTCCAGGTGAGTCGCCCTGGCCTGCTGCTTTGCTGCTTCTTATCCCTGAGGGCTAGGAGCAGCCGTGACCATGTGGTGGGCTCCCCTGCAGGGCCTTCATGGAGTCGAGCTCCCTCCGGAGAAGGATGCGGAGCGTGCTAGACTGTCTGGAAGGATTCAGCCAGCAGAGTTCCATTCACAATGTGCTGGGTAGGTTCCCCTTCTCCCAGCTGGCCACCAGGGCCAGCACGGGCCATGTTCCTGCCCTCACCATGGCAGCTGACAACTGTTCCTGCTTCCCTTGCAGAGGCCTTCCATCGAGCCCGGCGTCGCATGCGAGAGGCCCGCGAAAGCCTTCCCCAGGACCTAGTGAGCCCCTCTGGAGCCATGGTCTCCTAGCTCCCTGGAACTCTGGCCCTCAGGGGAAGGGGAAAGGCCTAGTGATTTCTGAGGCCAGCGCTCTCCAGCCTCTTTGTCTTTGTCCAGCCACATTTACCTGCCCAGAACCAGACGAGCTGGGAAACCCCCAGGCCAGCTGCTCTGCCTATAGCCCTCAGCAGGCTCTCCTCACTGCCATGTGGGAATGAGCCAGACACCCCGTGGCCCCCATCTGTTCATATGCAGCTACTGTAAATGGGCATCCCAACAAGGCAGGCTTTGTGGCTGAAACTAGTTTGGGGTGACCCTATAGCTATTCTGTCCCCCACATGGACCGTTTTCTGGCCTGTCTCACAGTCCCAGTAGCAGAGAGGGCCGCAGATCTTTCCTGCTCCACAAGCTTCTTTAAAAATGGAGGCCCAACAGCTCTTGTCCGGAGGTGAGATGAGAAGGCAGAGAGGGTCAGGAGGGTTGAATGGACATGGGAAATCAGGTGGAAAGGAGGAATGTGCTGTCACAGTATAGGGAGAGCAATTAGGGTCACATAACTATGTATAAATTTTGTATGAGAGACTAACTTGAATTGTAAACTTTCACTTAAAGTACAATAAAATAAAATTAAAAAATGGAGGCCCAAGAAAGAAGAGGAAGGTGAGAGAGGCCTGTGAGTCTTTGCCCCCTCTTTTCAGGGTAGCCTTGTTTACTGCTTGGGGCTTGTTGAGTTTGAGACAACTTATTTCTGGAATAACTGGGGGCTGAAGGCAATGCCCAGCTCTTTCCTCTAGCTGGGTGGTATTTTTTAATTGTTTTTTTTCATAAAAAATGTTTTTACACTGACTGATGTTCTATTGACTGTTTCTTGGCACAGGTTGCTGGCATGGCCAAGTTATTTCCTGAATGTCTGGGTCCCGGTGCCTCTGCCGTTTCCCTTCTCTGCCTTGTCCTACTGCAGAGTATTTCTTTCTGCTGTCTTGATTCCATCCCAAGGAGAGGTTCAGGGATTAGTGCCAGCTTGGGTCTTAGCAACATTCCTCTTCAACATCTGGCGCAAAGCATGGGGCAGGCCACACCCTCCCCAGCCCAACAGAAGTAGGGCAGCCCTTGCTCTCAGCAGCACTTTATTGGTAGAAGCAGAGAAACTGCCCAGCCTGTAGGCTCAAGAGGAGGCTTGTGGGCTGCCTATCGGCTGGGCTGATGTGGTCTCGCAGTCACTGGGGCATGGCTGGGAAATAGAAGAAAGTGGCTGCAAACCCTCCAGCTGACTCTTCTTGCCTGGGTCTCAAGGCCTCCTTGCTTGGCTCACAAGTCCTTCCACCTGGAATGGATTCGTAACCTAACACCTGAGAGGCTCCCAAGGCGGGTGGGTCCGTTGCTGCTAGGACTTCAGCTGTCGCTCCCAGCCAAAGAGCTCGACGCTGTAGCCAGCAAAAGCATCAGCAGGCTATGGTTGCTCCAGGGGAAGAAGGAAGCCTTGTAATCCTTCCCAGACTCACTTGTCTCCAGGGATTGGAGGCTTGGGATGGACTCCTGTGGAGACGAAGCAGAACTGAATAAGTGAGGAACCTACTGGGAGTCGGGAAATGGAGATGCTTTAGTGTGAAGGTGACCATGCTAAGGCAAGCTGGACACTTCCTGATCGTTCCCCAAAGTCTTAGGCCCTGGGATTAACCCTCAGCACAGAAGCTAGCACACTGGGAAGCCACTGTCCCTAATGGTGAGTCCTGTTGTCTCTACTTAGAGCTTTATGAGGACTCAGCTGGCCTGCCCGGGGAAGGGGAATGATGCGAGGGCCTACCCCAGCCCAGGGCTGTTGGAGGAGGGCCTCTCCTTACCTGCAGAGGCTTCATTTGCCTTGCCAGGCTGACAGGTTCAACCTGGGGATGTGGCTGCAACTCACAAAGCCCCGGGGGTAGATGTTGGCCCTGAAGATGTCCCTCGAAACAGTGGTGATACCAGTATTGTCACACACAATTCGAGACAAGGAAACCTGTCTCAGGGCTCTGCGCTGTCTCTTGGTGAAAACACCCTGTTTCTGCCACCAGAACCTACCAAGACATTCAACAGATGTGGGTGAAGGTTGGGAAGAAATTAACTTACAATGAGCACCTGTTGTGTGCCAGGTACTTTACATTATTTCATTCAGTTATCACAAAATTCTTGCAAAATAGGTGTTATTCCTATTTTATAAATGAAGGAACAGGTTCAGTGAGTAAGTAAATAGACCAGTATTACATGGACAGTATTAGAGTGGCCAGGTCTGGACTTGAACATAGGTGGTGGTGGTTAGATGCTGTCGAGTCAGTTCCAACTCATAGCGACCCTGTGTACAACAGAACGAAACACTGCCCAGTCCTGCGCCATCCTCACTAACCTAGGTTAGTGCCAGAAAATAAGGAATTAGGTCTTAAACCACGAGCTTATTGAAAGGATACCACATTTAGCCTTTTCAGTCCATGCTTTCTGGAATCTGCTAGCCTGGAATAGCTAGGCTGACAACTCTGTCTCCTGGGTTAAAGGTGACCACGGCTCAGTATCAGCCTTGCCTGGGTTAGTGGTATCCCTCCTCTGACCAGACTTCAGGGAGCCTCCTGGTCTCAGGTCCTATGAACTTGGAAGAAATGAAGCTAGAAAGTGCAGTTTTCCCCACTGTTTACTGTTGAATTCTAGTGCTTTCTGTCACACCTCTCTGGCACTAATCTCTTTTAGGGTAGCGCCACTTGCTTACCTGTCTCCATCTCGGGCTTTTCTAAACTGGTTCTCAAAAAGACAGGCCAGAAGAGGCCCCACTCGAGCCCCTGGCAAAAGAGGCTCTGCAATGGCCCCAACCCAGATGTCAATGTTGTCAGGTGTCCCATACAGATTCAGAAACTTCCTTGCCAAATCCTTGTTCTTCAGCACCTGGCTGAGTTGTACCAAATTCCGAGGCTGGGAGAGCCCGCAGAAGCGCCTCCAAGCATTGTACCCTGAAAGGGGAGAGTAGGAGAAGTAGTTCTGGTCTCACGCCTGCTGAGCTCCCCTTAGCTTCCGCTTTTCCACAAGTTCTTCTGAGAGAAAGCTCAGTGGTCAGCCAATATTGGGCAGGAACAAGACAATCCCTGGTGGTAAAGAGGCCCTGAGCCCTCCAAAGAGCAAAACTGTTGTCTGATTTTAAACTTACAACCACGCTTTGTGTGCATCAAACTGAGGAGTGTGTCCTAGTTTAAAAAGCTGTTGTGACCCAAAACTCATAACCACAAATCTGACATTGAATGACATTATCATTGGGCTCGTGTGCATTAATTAGGCACAAATAAGACAGTACCCAGAATATAAAAGGACTCTCAATCAAGGTTTGTAGAATGAATGAATGAATAAATGAACAAACCAACAAATGAAGAGCATGGGATAAAGTTCATCTGCTCAGAAACAGACCACATACTGAATGATTCCATTTATATGAGAGGTCCAGAATGGGCAAATGCATAGAGACAGAAAATAATTAAGTGGTTGCCTAGCACTGGGGTGGGGATGGGGAATGACTTGTCATGAGGTTTGTTTAGGTAGTGATGAAAATGTTCTGATATTAGGTTATGGTGATTGTTGTACAACTCTGCAAATATACTAAAATCACTGAATTGTATACTTCAAACAGGTAGACTTCAGAATATCCCAATAAAGCCTTTTTTTTTTTTTAATTTCATCTACTCAGAACTTTAAAGATCAGTCATAACTGACTTCTCAAATATCAGGATCCTACACTAGGGCCAAGCCATGCGATGTGAGGCCCATCAAGGTAGGAGATAGCTTTGCCACAACCTGAAGAAACACCAGCCCAACATCGTCCATTGAACTACAAACTCACACCATCCCCCCGCTGAACAGAGGAAAACCATATAATGTACCGTCACTAAGCACTGTTGCACACATATCTCTCAAGATCCTCACTATGTTTATGAGGTACTTCGTTATCCCCATTTTACCAGTGGATGTTTGCTGAGATTGATCAGCTATGGCTTTTCCGAGATCACTCCACTAAGTGAAATTCAAACCAGATATTCCAATTCCAAATTTGGTTTTGGACTTTGGAAGGAATTGGAGGAGACTGAAAGAGCTAGTATCAGGATAATATTTCTAGTACAGCTTGAAAGGAGCAGATATTGGGGAAAACAGAAGACTCACTGTTTTGCAACTTGGGAGACCAGCAATCTCAGTTCGCCACCTGGGGGCGCCCACAGCTCCTTAGCTGTCAGGGGCACCCAAGCGTAGGAAAGGAAGAGACCTCAGGTTTATTGAGTGCCCACTTTGTGTGGAGCCCTGGTGGTGCAGTGGTTAGGATCTCGGCTGCTGACCAAAAGGTATGCAGTTTGAATCCACCAGCTGCTCCTTGGAAACCCTATGGGGCAGTTCTACTCTGTTTTGTAGGGTTGCTATGAGTCGGAATCAACTTGATGGCAAAAGGTTTACTTTTATTGGTTGCTGTATGTCTGCTAGTTGCCTTTTAGATGCAGGAATTCCCCCTACTCCTTTGTACATGCCCAAAGGTCAACTGAGGGCGGTGGGGCTTCAGATTCTACCTAGACAGGGAAGTAGGAGGTGGGGAGAAGGAGGAAGGAACAAGGTAGTGACCAAAGCCTTCCTCTACAATGGATTGAACAGGGGGAAAGAAAGCAGAAATTCTGAATTTAAACTTTACTACTTCCCAGTTACAGGACCTTCGACAAATTACTAAATGTCTCTGAGCTTATTTTCTTATTTATAAAAAGGACTGTAATCGCTGCTTCTCAGGGTCATTGGGAAGACTACCAAAAACCAAACCTGTTGCCACCACGTCAATTCTGGTTCACAGTGACACTATAGATGAGTTAATATTTATGAAAGTACCCAGCAAAGTGCCTGGTGCCCAGCAGAGGCTTAAAGACTGTACTTCTTCGTCTTTCGTGGACACTTTTTGTGTCCTCACCAAACAGCCAGTGCAGCCTGAATTTTACTCTACCTGTTCCCTGCCTCTTAAGGTTTTGCTTTTCTTCCCTTAGAGCAAGTAGCCAGTTGCTGTAGCCCTGGAATTTAAGCCTGCCTCCTTGGAATGTGCCACATGGTGGTGAAGGAGCAGTTCTTTCTTGTCTTTAAAATCTGTTTTTCTCTAGTACTTGGAAAGTCCTAATTGCCTTTTGTCAGCTCCAGTGCCCACATCCTGGTCCTATGGTGGACTAAAGCTGGGTACCCTACAGTGGATGGGGAGGACTTGGCAGGACAGCAAACAGGTGTTCCCTGGGAGGCTCTGCTGCATCAACCTCGGCCTTGCATGCCCCTGAGCCTCCGCACATCCTACATGGTCCCGGTCCGAAAGGAGACACCCACAGAGCAGCCCCAGCCCGAGCTAAACCTGGAAGCAGGGGGCGGTGGCTCCCTCACCTGGCAGGCCATGATCCCGGCTGCGTTGCATGTTGAGAGCTGCCAGATCCAGCCCAATCCTTCTCACTTGCTGAAACAGCCGGTCCCGGAGCTCATCCACCATCATGGAATCTTGACCATTCAGCTTGGCAGGGGTGGCCATAAGGCCTCGGAGGAGGGGATCGATGCCACCTGGTGGCAGGAGTGTGAGCGGCACAGATTAGAGTGTGAGCAGCACAGCCTCTGGGAAGCCTACTGGGTCATCATCCCATGATGCCAGGCTGAGCTCACTCAGAGCTGGACAAGCCAGTTGCTTATATTCTGTGCGTGTCAGGAAACAGGCCTGGGTGGACATGAAGGGAGATGGAGCTAGGAGGGAAAGGCATCACCCCTACTTCTTAAAGAAGGAGAGGAAGGAAGGCTCCCTCCATGTCTACAACCTGCCAGTCTGACATCAGTCTGCCCTTGGTCCCCCTTTTAGAAGTTTTCTCATCCCTAAGGGATGGAAGACCCATGACTGAGGGTCCTGCCTCATTTTCACTGGTCTGGGGAGATGATAAGCAGCAGCCTGAGCAGCAGCGTGGCCTTCTGGCAGAAACCCTGGCTCACCTGGGGGAGTGTGTGACCCCATCCCCACTCCAATCCCACCCCCATCTGTCTCTGGAAAACCTGGTCACCTTCGTACACAACTCGCCAGCTGGCAAAGAAGGCAGAGCTAAGTGGGACACGGGAGTTGGGTGCCGAGGCCCGGTACTGGCTGTCCAAGCGGAACAGGAAGGGCTGCAGCAGGGTGTGGCCAAAGCGGAAGGCCAGGGTGAAGACATTGGCTACACGGGGGTCCACATTGGAGCAATAGCCCCGGTAGGGCCCCAGTGTTCTCTTGGCCCGGGCCTTGCCCAGAACCAAAGGCAGGAAGTCTCGGTAGGTGATAATCTGGAAGAGAGACAGAAGGAACGGGATCTCGGTGGCCACCTACCCCACTCCCTTGTTTGGGCAGACGTTTGCTCTTCAAAGTGCTGCTCAGACGTATTAATTCTTTATTATCATTATGTCTTATGTGGCAATGTTAATTTCCTGTTGGCTAATGGAGATGCTGAAACCCAAAAAGGCTGAGGTGGACAGGGTCACACCACTGTGGGTCCAATTCTGAGCTACTAGCAAAACTGAGGGTAGAGGTCAGATCTCAGGTACACCTCAATCACCCAGACCCTCAAGGATATATTAAGGAAGGTCAGAGTCACTCTCTGAGACTGCTTCCTGTCTCACATTGTCTTCTGGCGAAAGCTGGGACACAGGGCTCCCTACCTGGACCATGGCCCCCACGATCTTCCGAGCCTCGTTGTACAGCTTATCTCCACTCCACCGGGGGTTCAGGTGTCTCAGCTCGGTGGCCAGTCGGTTGTGCTCTCGCATAAAGATGGTGTGCATGGCTGCCAGATTGGGGGTTTCACTGGATCGGGAGTCACCTTGAAAACCCCAAATTCACAGTCACTACAGCCTTTCCCAGAAAAATTTCTTTCTGCTAAGGAGCCTTGGTGGCACAGTGGTTAAGTACTTGACTACTAGCCAAAAGACTGGCAGCTTAAACCCACTCAGAGAACCTCAGGAGACAGGCCTGGTGATCTGCTTCCGAAAGGTCACAGCCTTGAAAACCCTGTGGAGCAGTTCTACTCTGCACACACGGGGTCGACATGAGTCAGAATCAACTCCACAGCAGCCACTGGAGAGACCAAAGCAAGCGGAAGCTGGCCACACACAGGGAATTTGTTAAGGCACTCCTTCCAACTTATTGATTCTATGATGACTATGCACAGATCCATGCCTATGGTCTGCCTAATACTGAGGTTTGAAACCACGTACTCCCACCACACCCACCATGGCTTCCCAACCCAGAACTCAGGGACTGGCATTTCCTGGGAAGACACTCCCTTTTCCCAAGTCTGACCTGCCAGGAAGCAGGGGATGCACACAGAGCGGTTGGTGAGGAGACAGGGGTCGTCCCGCAAGTTGTCGAAGGGCAGCAGGGCTCGGCCATTGTCGCGGAAGTGTTGGTTGACGGCCAGCAGCCCCAGGTAGTTGGTCCGGTTTCGGAGCCGCTGGGCAAGGGAGACCTCACTGCCGTACACCATGCTGGCGTCCACGAAGGAGGTGAGTGCATTGATCTGGTTGCGGACTTTATTCTTGTTTTGGGGGCAGGAGGGTGCCGAGCGGAAGAAGGGGATGCAGTCATGCTGGTTCTTGATGCGGGGGTCATTGGGCGGGATCTGCAGTGGAAAAGAAGCCTCAACAGCAGGCTCACTTCTGCTGGTGATCCCCTACCTGCCTGAAAACTTTGCTCAAAACTCCCCTCTTCCAGGAAGCCTTCCTTGACTCACCCTGAGTGTCCTTAGCACTTTGTAACATAGAGTTATGGAAGGCTAGAAATGGATGAGACGTTTGAGATGATTTAGATCCTCATCTTACAGATGGGGAAACTGAGGCTTAGAGGGGGTGAAGTGACAACTAGTTAGTGGGAGAGGTGGGACTAGAGCCTACTTCTGACGTTTCGGTTTGTGCTCCTTCAACTGAGTTCAATTTGACAGACATTTCCAAAGCACCCTTCTGTGCTGGGTGCTTGGACACTAGGAAGGTCAACAAAACCCAGTCCAGGTTGCAGGAAGCTCGCAGATCAGCGAAAACAGACACACGCATAGACTTATGTGACTCTAAATTGAGATGGCATCTGCTATGCTTGATATAAACACCAAAAGCTAAATAAAAGTATAATAGGAAGATCTGGGATGGCTCCTCAGAAGAGGTGTCCCTAAGCAGAGTTTGAGGAATGCTTAGCGTTTCAGTAGGGAGGACCTCATGTACCATCCCTCATGAATGTTGCCCTACCTCATAAGTGTGAGTATGTATGAGTGTGTGCATGTGTGTGTGCGTGAGTGCACGTGTGTCCTATATCCTATATGTTCCCCTATATGTCCTATATCCCCAACAGGGACTCAACTCCCTGGATTCCTTCTTTTCTTCTCTAGTGCTTACACCACCCTTGCATCCCAGCCCAAAGAATCCAGGCCTTCTCACAACCCAATTCCAGGAGCTGGCAAGAACAGCAGGGCCTTGGGCCATCCCAGGAAAGAGAGAAGGACAAGAGCTAAGAGACCCTAAGGACCCCAAAAGTAGGACCCCGGAGACTTCCTCTGCTGGAATCAAACGCATGGGTTAAGGCCTGTCTCACTTGCTTCCCTGTCCATAAAGCCTGCACTGAACCTTCTGGTAGATTGCTCCAACCCTGAACTTTCAACTCCAAACATGCACAGAGTCTGCGCTGGGTCTTTTGGCACCAAAAGTCTTCGGTTACAGAGCGCTCTGTTTCTTGCGTCTCTGTCTCACACCCAGCCCTACAGATAGCTCCTGAAGGATAGTGCTTCTATCTTTGGGACCCCCACCCTCAGCTTTGTGGCTGGGGTGGAGGCCACACCAGGGTCCTGGAAGGTTGGCTAGGGTACCTTGATGGGAAAGCAGGGGGGCAGCTGGGCACAGGTCCTCTCGCAGTCAACACCCCCAGAGAAGGCCACTCTGGCTGGGGATTCTGGGGAGAAGTCCAGGTCATGGTCAATGAACTGGCCCCACTGCATGAACATGTAGGCCCGGCCCTGGTCGGAGGTCAGCCTCTCGCTGGGGAAGCGCACAATCTGGTTGGAGACAGCCCGGACCTGGTGGGGAGATAAGGTCAGCATGGGGCATGGGCTCCCTGATTCCAGCAAGGACACCCCGGGACATGGGAGAAGCAGCTCCCCCTGCTGGAGAGAACACATAGTCTCCCTTCTCCTGCCCTGCCCTCCTCTTCCCTCTTTTGCGCCCGGAGAAGCAGCCATCTCCTGCTGTGGCTGTCATGCTTAGAAGGATGGTCTCTGGCCCAGGTTCTGAGGATTCTGGGAGTAAAGAGAAGGTGAAGGACCAGGTTGGTTGGCCCAGACCCCACCAGCTATTTCAGAGAGATAAATAGATCAAATTGATAGATCAATTTATAGACAAACGGTTAACTCTATGATAGAATGGATTGACAGATGCATGGAATAACTGATAGGTGATGGATGATAGATATATAAAAATCTGGATAGGGAGATAGATGAAAGGATTAATGGAAGAAAAATTAATAAACAGATGTTGATTGATGGGTAGATGATGGATTATTACACTGACATATCAACAGACACTTGATGACCCGATCGACGTTCAACAGACCAACAGCTAGAGCTAGATAAGGTATATAGCTCTTTATGTTTAGCAAGATACTTTGACACTAATTCTCTAAGAAAAATAATAATATTATTGTAATGGCTAGCATGAATAGATCATGTTCTATACTGCTCGTTACCCCCACTGCCGTCAAGTTGATTCCAACTCACAGCCACCCCACAGTTTCCAAGGCTGTAAATCTCTATGGAAGCAGACTGCCACATCTTTCTCCTGCAGAGCCACTAGTGGTTTTGAACTACCAAACTTTCTCGTTTAGCAGTCAATTGCTTTAACCACTGCACCACCAGGGTTCCTTATGGCTGTTTATACCAAGTGCTTTATTTAATATTCACACCAGCTCTATGAGGTAGGTACTGTTTTGCTACCATTTTACAGATGAGGAAACTGAGGCTCAGAAAGCTCTATTACTTGTCCAGAGTTACCCAGCTGGCGAGTGATAGAGCCTGCATTTGAGCCCTGCCTAGCTGAGTCGGGGGCCCTGGTGGCACAGTGGTTAAGCATTCAGTTGCTGACCAAAGGGTCAGCAGTTTGAATCCACCAGCTGCTCCTTGGAAACCCGACAGGGCAGTTCTACTCTGTTCTATAGGGTCACTATGAGTCGGAATCAACTTGACAGCAATGGGTTTGGTTTGGTTTTTTTGGTTTTAGCTGACTCTGGACTGGATTTAGAAGAGATCAAGTTCTCCAGACCCTCAACCCTGACTCACAAGAGGGAGGAGGAAGCCATTGCGCCTCTTGCCAGGGGTCCAGCCGAAGGGGAGTGACAGCCCATCCTCATACTGGGCTGGCAGCCAGCGGGCCAGGGCCTGGTTGGAGGCCCCCAGCCAGGGTCTCTTCCTGCAGCAGAGGGTGGGCCGAGGTTAGCAGAGCTCAGGGCCTGGGGTAGCTCAGCATGGAGGAGGGGGGCAGGGTGAGGGCGGGAGGGTCCCGGGCCAGGTGCAGTCCCTGGCGCTACCCACTTGTTGTTGCATCTCCCAGTGATTGTTCTGTACTTGTTGCTGCACTTCTCAGCACTATCCTGGAGAGCACAGCCACTGGTCTGGGACAGCAGCCGAAGCTGGGATTCTGTGAGCATATCTGGGGATAGGGCAGGTGCGTGGGGTCCTCGGCTCAGTTTCCGGAGTTCTGGCGCCTTCCTAAGCTAGCCTGTCCCAAACCTCCATCCCTTCATCCTCTCTCCTCCCAGCACCCCAGGACTCTCTGCACCCTGCCTCCCCCTCCTGGTTTCCTTCCACTCCCAGGCCAGGGGCAGGCCCCGGGGCTCAGTGGGGAGCACAGTACCAGTGACATTGAAGGGCCTAGACCCCTGGAATTGGAACTTCTCCTCCAGCAGCCCCAAGGCCACATGCATATAGTCAGCGGCCTGGACGACTGTCCTGGTGGCTGCTGCTGGCTGCTTGAAGTAGAACAGGAGGTCCGTAGGGCTCGCCGAGCCGCTGCGAAGGCGCTGCTTGATGCTGCCCAGAAGAGGGAGGGTGAGGGCTGGAGAAGGGGGAGAAGGGTGCAGACCCACCCAGCAGAGCCCCAGCCCAGGAGTGGGCTGCAGGACAGTGTAGACACACAGGATGGACCAAGGGGAGGCTCTCTGTAGTGGAGGCCCCATGGTGCCCAGGGCAGGGTGGTGGTGAGATGGCCTTGGCTGGAGCCCACCCCCCATGGACCCTCCTAGCACCATACAGCCCCCAGGGCCAGGCCCACCTCCTCTGTGTCTGATTGTAGGCTGTATCCACCATCAGCTTGGCCTCTGCGATGCAGTCCTTTATGACTGAGGTCTCCACTGCCCTGGGGGAGGCTGTTCAGGGGCATGGGGACTCAAGGTCCAGGGGAGCCACAGGACCCCCAGGCCCAAGCACTTCCCCCCTTCACCCTCTCCCTCTCATACCCACCCTCCTGCTTGGCTTTCCAAGGGACCATTACCTGGGGCAGCGCCCTCACAGGGCTGGGGGAGGGTGAGTGTGGCCAGGACCCCTGCAAGGGCCAGGAGCATCTTCATCTCTGCAAGGAGACCCCCAGTCACAGCTGGGTCAGCCACCGACACCCACATCCTGCATCTGCTGGGGTCCCAGCTCCCTTCCTCCCAGAGGCCCCTAAGCTGATCCCTCCTGCTCTTCTCTGGAAGCAGCCTAGGAAAGGACTTTTATACCCCATCTGGGGGTTGGGGGGTGGGGGTGGCAATGGGGGTGAGGGTAGAAGTCCTGCCTCTTGAGGTGGGGCCCTGGAACTTCCCTCTGGTTATCAGGGGAGCTGTGAGAATAAACACCCCTTCCTGCCCCGCGCCTTGCCAGCCTGAGGGCATTCTTCCCTTCGTCCCCTACCCTCAGTCTTTGTGACAAGCACAAGGATTGACAGGAAAAAGTCATGGGGTTCTGGCTGTGGATGCACCCTCGGCCTCAGTTTCCTCATCAATGAAATGGGATGGCTGCCCTTTTTCAGAGGCGAAATATCAGAATGGGTGTAAAAGTGCTTTGTAAACTGTACTCTGAGGTGCCAGTGCTGGTTTAGGTTCTAGTAAAGAGCCATAAAGGAGCCCTGGTGGCACAGTGGTTAAGCGGTAGGCTGCTAACCAAAGATTGCAGTCTGAACCCACCAGCCGATCCATGGGAGAAAGATGTGGCGATCTGCTTCTATAAAGATTTACAGCTTTGGAAGCCCTATGGGGCAGCTTTATTCTGTCCTATAGGGTCACTATGGGTTGGAATCGACTTGATGGCAGTGAATTTTATGGAATAAGCTATGAAGAGTCCCTGGGTGGTAGAAACGGTTAAGTGCTCGACTACTAGCAGAAAGGCTGGAGGTTCGAACACACCCAGAGGTGCCTTGGAGGACAGGCTTGGTGACCTACTTCCTAAAGGTCACAGACTTGAAAACCCTTTGGAGCATGTCTACTTTGCACACATGGGGTTGCCATAAGCTGGAAACGACTCAACAGCAACTAACTACGACAACAATGAGCCATGAGGCTTATCCTAACCATCTGATTTCACTTGGCACACAGCCCTTCAAGTCTCTCCAGTACTCCTCATCCCTTACCCTGCCCTACTTTTCCTTTCTTTCTCCAGCATCCACCACTTTCTGGCATCCCTAGAATTTACTTATTTGCTACGCTTAGTGTTTTCTTGTGTCTCCTCCCAACAGAACCTAAACTCTACCAGGAAGTGCATCTTTGCTGGTGAGCTCACCCATGTATTTCTCCCAGGGCCCAGAGCAGTGCCTGGAACACAGATGTCACTCAATGACTATTTCCTGGATGACTGAGGAGCAGTGTGACTGCAGAGAGGGTGGAGCCTGCCTGCCACTAAGTAGCTGTGTGGCCTCGGACAAGTCACTTCTCCTCTCTGGGACTCAGCTTTCCCCATTCCTAAAATGGGTGTTGAGCCAAATGATTGGAAAAGTTCCCCCCCTTCTCCCAACAGGGCATGGACCGTGTCTGTCTTACTGAGGTATCCCCCATCCACCCTACTCCATGCCCAGCACAAGGCCTGGCATTCAGTAGATGCTCAATAAATGTGTGTTGAGTGAATGGATGATATATGATCTATGATTGGATCCCTCTTCTTCACCCCTCAATCCTACCAGCTCTACGTGGGGAGCCTGGAAGTGAAATGAAGGAATCACCTCTTGGGGCCATTTGGGGGTTGCAGTGAGATGTTATGGGAAAAGCAGCCAGCAGAGCGACTCCCCATAGCAGACCTCCAAGAAAGCCAAGGTCCTGCCTTAGACTTGGTGCTTCTACCGATGTTTCTTCAATGCCTATCAGAGTAGGTTTGCTCTGAGTGGTGGGTCTAAACTCTGAGTTTCTATTGGGCTTGCTAGGCCTACTCTTGAGAGGTGGCTTGCTGCCGTGGGGTCAGACCACCCTGGGTTTGAATCAGCTCTGTCACTAGTTGTGTGAGTTGGGTGAGCCTCCATTTCCACATCATAAGTGTAGGACATGCCCCAGTCAGTCTTCCCCCAGGGGCCTGTGCTCTCTCACACCTCCAGGCCTTTCCTCCTGCAGTCTCCTCCACTGGATGAAACCAATGGAGCATGGGCTGTGGAGCATGGCTGATGCCCGGGGGCGGATTATCCAACCGGCAGGGTACTCAAGGTGCTTACCTTGCTTATCAGTCATCTGCAGTGAATAATTTCACAGTTTTTTCACCACATCAAAGATTCTGCTTCTAAGTATGGCTAACATCTGTCTCTCTCCCAACCCCACAGTATCCTCCTACAGAATCAAAGCCTCTTTTCAAAGTTACAATCCCTGACAGGGACGGATGACCCAGTAAGCAAGGTAAGGATGGGCTTACTTGTGCTTACTTACTAACCTGTAGTGAACAATTTCACATGGGTTTCACCACTTGTGGTTCCTGACCGCATCTCAGTCTGCCTGGAGAACATGTGCTCATCTGTCAAGATGCAGCTCAAGAATCCCTACAACTGGCAGCCTGCCTGTGCTCACCCTTCTTCAGGTGGAAACCTCCATTCCTTCTTCACTGCAGACCCTATCCTTCTCCAGGCTCCCCCGGGCAGTTCCCAGTGTCTTTGTCTACAGCTCTGCATCCCCCAACTCCTATCTAAACCCCAAGGCCCTGCGTAGCCCCCTTCTCTCACGCCAATGCCCCTGGCCTTGACAGTTGCTCACGAAACAGCCACTTAAGCAACCCCTTTTACAGTTGAAGGCCCAGGCCCTCCTGATCTTATCTCCTTATCTTCAGCAGAGGCCCCTCTCTGGGAACAGGGGGGCCTGGAATGAAAAGTCACTGTGTAGTGGCTGAAAGCACACTGGATTCCTTGTTGCTGACCCACTGTGTGACTTTGGGTACATCGCAGCACCCCCTGTACCTCAGTTTCCAAATCTGTAAGAGGGAGAAAACGATCCCTATAAAGGAGAGAGCTTTTAAAAATTATAGAGTGCTCCCCAAGGAGCCCTGGTGGTGCAGTGGTTAAGCACTCAGCTGCTAACCGAAAGGTCGGTGGTTCGAACCCACCAGCCACTCTGCAGGAGAAAGATGTGGCAGTCTGCTTCCTTAAAGATTACAGCCTTGCAAACCCTATGGGGCCGTTCTACCCTGTCCAATAGGGTCATTATGAGTCCGAATTGACTCGACAGTAATGGGTTTATGGAGACTGCTCCCCAAGATGTGCTTTGGTCAGCCCCTGCCCTCAGGAAGCCAGATCCCCAGTGGTTGGAAGCGGGCTGGGTGTGTGTAACCTCTGGTGCTCTCCTTCCAGGGTCCCTGACACTCAGAGGACTCTAAAGCTTCAGCAACAGTGAGTTGTGCAAGGGTTTTCCTACAGCTGTGGGCTGCCATGGGTTATTGGCACAAGCCTGAGATGAACCCTGGGCTCTAGACCCAGCTGCGCCATGTTGGCTGATCTCTCTGGGATTTTGACCTATTGAGCACTCAAGGTAGTGATGAGAGGCAAGCAGATGGGAGCAAACCACCGAGGGTCCCTGGAATAGGGCTGGGCATCCTGAACCTGTACACCCAGACTCTGGAGGGCGGTCCCCAGGACACTGGTTGGGCCAGCTATTTGGGGTGGGAGTGGGAGTGTAGAAGCAGGGTCTGCCACTTGGTCCCTAGGGACTGGCCTCTGGCTGCCCCTTCAGCCTGACTTCTGCTTCTTCCCACAGGACCCTAGCCCTAGGTCCAGCCACTCTGTCTGCTTCCAGGCCTCTGCTGATTCTGCAGGAAGCTCTTCCCTCTCCTTCTGGTTCCCTCTGGACAGCCATCTCTGACCCACTCCACAAGCTAGGCTAGGTGACCCAGCCACAGCACTTACCACCCGGAAGCTCGTGGAGAGCAGTACAGAGAGGGGAGCTGAGAACTGGGGTGTGGAGTAAGGCTCACCTGGATTCCAATCCTCGCACCACCATCCACTTGGACACACTACTTGACCTCTCAGAGCTTACCTCCTTACTGTCAAACAGAGGTCATTACAACCCTTACCCTACAGAGTCATTAGGAAAATGAATGTAGAAAGCTAGCACGGTGCCAGCTATGCAACAGGCATTCAATCATGTTTGCTGAATAAGCGTTGCAGTTTTGCTATGTTGCTGCCTCCTTTGTTGAATTCACTTGGGACTCGCCACAGGGGCAGTGATAGACATCAGCTGGTGGGGTAGGGGCAAGGAATTCAAGAGCTATGCAGACCATTCAGGACTGGGGACCTGGAAGGCCTCCATAATTAGGATTGTTCAGACCCGGTTCTCTGAGCCCTGCTGCTCATGTTGCAGTGGGTGTGCCATTGCCCAGTGCTGGGTCGTGGAAACAGAGTGAACCACAGTGATGAAGGGAGAAGACCCAGGGTCTCCAGCCCAGGCCCCTGCCCACCCATTCCAGCTGTAGCCATGCCATGTCTGTTTGTCGTCCACGGTAGCTTCAATACCTAGCACAATGCCTGTCAGGGACTTACTAAATATTTGTGGAATGGATATATTTGCCGTGATCTTGACTACCATGTCCCTCAGGGTCAGGGAATGGGTTTGTGCCTGTACATCTATCAGGACCTGGTGCCCTTTGTCAGGGACGTTGTTCTCTCTGGACCAGGACATGTCATAGGCCCAGCCTTGCTATGCTGAGGCCTAGACCCTGGACCACAAAGAAGGGCTTCCCTCCCTAGCATCTTTCAGCTACAATACCCTAGAGCCTTCCCTCCAAGCCACCCCTGGCCATCTCAAAACCTCAACCTTTGGCAACCACTTTCATAAGAACCGCCTGCCAACAACAGTGGAACTGCTGGCCACAGGCCTGATTGGATCTCTTTATCTGCTCAGCTCCAACGGCCCCCATCAAGACAGCTGGGGTGGATCAGGGCTCAGGGCCTGGTGGGCCTGCTCCTGCTCCCAGGGATGCCTGGGAATGGGGTTCCTGACCCTATTTTCATGACAAGAACACTGAGGTCTGTAGGAGAAGCAGCTTGGCTTAAAGCACAATGCCTCAACTGCTGTGCCAGAGGCTGGGACTGGGCCGGGAGTGTGTGCATGTGTGTGTCCCAGAGCTGAGGACTCCCCTCCTGAGG